GCAGGATGTTGGCACCTTGAGTTGTTGAAGGAAAACTAGCTGCTGGCTGCTAGCTTTTTTTCTACAATCTCCTGGATGTCTTGGAATATAATGCCTTTGTCCCATGGAAACCACTTCACAAGAGTGGGAGTCCTTTAAAATCTACAAATGAAGAGTGATCCCAGAAGAGGGGTGCATGCTGGTAACCTCAGCAGCTGCAAGATAGCTTTGTCCCCGATGCTCATCAGTCGCTTCTGCCACTGATCCCAAGATACAGTAGTCTGAATCAGAGTGTGACCCACAGCCCACCAACAAAATGAGAAAAAGGTGCAAAAGGTGCACCTTTAGGATTAGAACAGCAGCCACTTTCTCCAGCTGTGGAAGTGTGCCTACAAAGACCACGCTACTGTGGTTAGCACATCCTGCTGCTAATGAGGATGCACACACACACCGAAATACAAATTTTGCTCATCGTAGTGGTCGTTTGGTCATTAAATGGCCATTTCTGGCCACTAACACGCTATGTGTGGGAGTTTGTTTTTTTGTTTTTGTTTTTTTTATTCATCAAAAGAAGAAATAATGCCAAAAAGGCATCGTTACTGTTACTGGTGCTGACCTGCAATGATGAGTGAAAAAAATATGAATTTTTATCAATTACATGGTGAAAAAATTGGAACTTTATTGCTATTTTTCCTAAAAAGTTAGTAGTAATATGTAATTTGACTGGTATTTGAAGGCTGTAGTTTCTGAATTTGAAAAATATTTTAGTTTTCACAACAAGGACTGGTGCTAATTTAAAAAATAAAGTCGGGCAAAGTAGAAAAATTTTTGTTTTGTTTTTGCCTGTCCTGTTTGGTTCTTTAGCCATATTTGAATTTTATAACATTTTGTGAATGTAAACAACATGAACATGCTGAGAGAGTTTTTCTCTCATTTGAACTTGTTTTGGTATAATGATAGATATGCTTCTGAATATTTGACAACCATTTCGTTCGCGACTGACCCATCACTAATGTTCTGAGGAGTACAGCGTCTGTCTAAACAACAAAAAGCAGAAGAAGAAGAAGCACCATTTAGCTGCCAGTTAAAAAAGAAGGATCAGGACACGGTGTCAGAAAAGAAAATACAGTACTGTTCGTTTCTTCAGACGATAAGTGATAAGCTGTACCCAGTTCATAAAGCATGCAGATTGTTCATGTTGAGTCTAAGCAAGTCTCCTGATTATCTAGTAAACAACAGCACCCTCTGCTGTTCCTAAGGAAAATTGACAGAGTTTCAAGTGTAACGTCATTGCTGGTTCAGCTGGGGGCAAGGTTGCATCATTAACCACAAGCTGAAATCAGTGCAGAGCACTAAAGCATGACAGGTTACATCCAAAAACTGAAGCTTGGTGCCGCTCCTGCTTCGCTAAAACTCATTTTAAGCCTCTGATGAGTCGAACCACTGAGATCACGTGATCCAGCTTTGCTCGGGGTCGAGGAGCTGATGGGTCAGGGTATGGGAAAAAAGAAGTGGGGATCTTTTTGGACACCAAATATCCAACTGTAGTCCTTACACTAGAGACGGCTTTTGATCTGACCACAGGCTTGGACAGTGTTGACACAACCAAACTAGACCCCGCAGTTGGGGGCAGGAAACTGCGTCCCCTCTCCACTTTCTCATGATTGAACACTGATGTTGCAAAAGCACATGAAGTCTTCAATCAGGGTAAATAACTGCACTCGGATGCCTTCTCTTGAAGCCACGACAAAGAGAGAAACTTGTCAAGACACTCAAGTACACACACGCACACATCCTTTGGGGATGAAAGAAAAGTGTCAGCATCACGGCACAGTCTTACCCTTAAAGGAGGGAAGCAGTCGGGCCATTCCTGGGCCAGAGTAGGAGAGAAGACAGATAGCATCTTGGGAATCTGTATACAGTGATGTGAGTCATGTGTGCAGTGTGTAGTACCTACGTATGCCTAACATTTATCGCAGGGAGAGTGGTGTTTATAGTGTCGGACACAGGCGAGCAGGCACCTGGCTTCTTTTATTGTCAAAATGCGTACTCCCTTTGGGTCTGCTTGCTGATGAGCTGTTCAGGGGTGTCAAACATAAAGCGCAGGGGCCAGAATCGGTTCGGGAAAGACTCTAATCCAGCCCACTGGACAAAATAGTTTCAGTTTTTCTGCTATTTACTACAGAAAGTATCTATACCAAATAGAAAAAAGTGCGAAAAAAGCACTTTTTCTGTAATTTTACACATTTATCAAGTTTCACTGGTTCGGTCCACTTCAGACCAAAGTGGGCTGTATGCAGCCCGTGGTGTAAAATGACTTTGATGTGTCAGTTCTAGATGGATAATGAATTTGACTACTTTTAGTCTCTACTTCAGCGCTGCTGGCAGCATTCACAAATTCAGTCTACTGTGCTGTGTAGGAAGCTTCTTTATTCATGCATATTTCTACCTAATTTCACCTGCTTTGTTTGACAGCAGGGTTGTCACTATAGCCAGGTTTTTACTATGCTTGTGAGTTTTTTTTAAATGAGATATAAATACCCACTCATTCTTATATATGATAATATTGCAAATAATTGTGTAATTGCTTTTGTAAGCTTTTGTATAGTTTTAGCAACCTGGTGGTGGCTGTAGCTCAGGTGGCAGAGCAGATCAGCCACTAATCAGAAGGTCGGTGGTTCGATCCCAGGCTGCCTCCTAGCTGCATGCCACGTATCCTTAGGAAAGATACTAACCCCATGTTCGCCTACTGGTGGCGGTCAGAGGGCCCGGTGGCGCCAGTTTGTGAATGACTGAATGTAGTGTAAAGCGCTTTGGGGTCCTTAGGGACTGAGTAAAGCGCTATACAAATGCAGGCCATTTAACCACTTCCACAAACATGTATTTACTCCTTCTGTTCTGTTTGAAAGGAGACGATCTTGCCATGCAATACTACGTTAAACGATTCCCTTAAACGAATCCGAGACCCTATCATTGTTGTTGTGTTTTTAGAAATCTCAGTAGAAACATAAGTGGAGAAAGTTTTGTGTGACAGATCGGTAGAATTGAATTTCCAACTGAAAGTTCAAGGCTGGAAATTAAAATATATGTTTGAAGGCTATAATTTCTAAATTAAAAAATATTTTGGTTTTCATGACAACGACTGGTGCTAGTTTAATAAATCAAGTTTGTCAATTTTATAGCCCTTTGGGAATATAAACAGGAGGTGGCCAATTTTGCCCATGAACAACCTGAGAGGGAGTTTTTCTTGTTATCTTCACTGCACAAAAATGTAATGATGCATATATAATTGTTTTGAAGGAAGGCTCAGAGGAGGTTGGAGGTTGTTACCATCATGGGTTCATCCGATCAGAATGAGAATGAACAGTCATCAATCACAGGTTTCTCCTTTTATTTGAATAATCAGTAGGGAAAGACACACATGGACTGCTGATTCACAAAGGAAACAAAGTGGGATTTAAGTCACTCTGGAACTCAAAACGTTACATGAACTCAGGAGACTCAAACAGAAACTCACCTCAGCTGCCGCCCCATGTGGGAGTGAAGAAAGAGTGAGCTATTTGCAAAAAGAAAATAGGGATTTTATGGTTTTTATCTCTTTGTAGATCATTACATTTATGTAATCTAACTGGTATTGAAAGGGTTAAAATTCTGAACTTGAATGAAATTTTGGTTTTAAGGACCAGAACTGATTCTTATTTTAAAAAATCAAGTCAATGAAAGTAGAAATATGTTTTAATATATTTGAATTTTATAGCATTTTGTGAATTTAAACAACAGGTTGGCCATTTTTGGCCACGAACAAGTCGAGTGGGAGTTTTTCTGTCACTGTGCAAAAATATATTAATGCATAAAAATCATTGATACTGTTAATTATTGATATAATTGTAGTTGCAGTGACGGTTACAAATAAATCAGGTTGCATGTATTACTTGGAAGAAAATGGGATTTTATGATTTTCTCTGTTTATGAATACTTACAAATGAACAAGCTGAGAGAAAGTTTGCTCTATTTCGCTTTCCCTGCACAAAAATGACAATAGAAAAAGAAATCACTGTTGATGTTAATTGATTACACGTCCCAGACTCTGCTATTAATAATACAAGAAAATCCAGTAGCAATGCAAATATATGAAAGTGAGTTTTGAGGTTGTCTTCCAACAAGTGCATTGTACAAACAAACTGGTGTTTCAAGGTTTAAAAATGTAAAAAATAAAGGGTTTTTTATATTTATAAAAAGAACTGATGTTATAGTTTAAAAATGTATGCAGAAAAATAGCACAAAAACCCCACAAAAAAATTATAAAAATTACACACCTAATCTGTTGCTGGACACTTTTGGCCAAGAACAAGCTGAAAGGATAGTGATTTTGAAGAAACCCAGAGGGTTAGTTAATTAATTAAAGACACATTTATTTATTTATTCATTTATTTATTTATTTAATTTAAAATGTAATTAATTATTGACACATATAATAAATTCCTTCAAGAAATGAATTCATGTCCTTCAAGAAGACAGACAAATACAGCAAAAAAGGAAAACCGTAAAACACAAAGGAGGCCAAATATGTAAAGAAATTCAAAGAAAGAACGATGTTACACTTTTCCCCTTCAAAAACAGGTGACACTGGTTAGCAATAGAGTCTGTGTCGGCCCTCTGACTACTTCAGCTGAGGGAACAACTCAGACCAGCTCATGTTTGCCATACCAAGTTCATCATCATCAAGACTAGACAAGCTAATATCCAACAATATCTTGTTCAGGTTGTTGTTCAAGGTATCTGAGACGAGGCCCTCTGTGATTGAGGGACTGGCTGGTGCGCCTCCTCCCCACAAAAGCTTTCTGGAGTAACTACTTGTGAAGCATCCGGTGGGTGACTCTGCTGGTCCGGTCACTCTGGACGGAGCGGATTTGAGAAGCTCAGTTGGGGAGTTAAACAGAGGCAAGTCTTTAAAGGGAGTGCTGCTGAAGCTGAAGGTGGTGTTGTCGTGTTGTGGAGTATCTGTGGGACCACCTGGTGTATGAACAGGAAAAAACATCAAACGGTAATTGAAACTGGAGCATCCCTGCAATCTATTTAACTATGTTACATTTCCCCCTCATGTGGTAGCCAGAACCCTCCAGCAGCAAAGCAGATGTAAAAGAAATTTGAAGCTAAAAGCTCCTAAACTACTGCAAATAGGAGGTCTGAATAAGTCTCCAATAAGAAATTTAAAATGATAGTATCAAGTGGGCCTTATTTGAACTTGTTTTGGTATAATGATAGATATGCTTCTGAATAGTTGGGTAAAACAGACAACCAGAGTAAATTTCTAGAGCACTAGGAGCGTGATATTTCTTCCTACATCAACAGCCTCGCCTTCTGTTGAGAGAAATCCTCTTCAATATGGACAGTTCGGATGGTTTAAATAGTGTCAGATCTAAATTTGTTTCTGTCTTGCTGCTTTGGTGTGGGCCTAATCATGTAGTGTTTACACAAAGAAAAAAAAGGAAAAAGAAACAGGTGACACTGCTTAGCCATAGAATGTGTTTCGGCCCTCTGGCTATTTCAACTGAGGGATGAACTCAGACCAGCTGATGTTCGCCATACCAAGGTCGTCATCATCCAGACCAGAGAAGCTAATATCCACCAATAAATCGCTCAGGCTGTCGTTCATGGTATCCGAGACGAGGCCCTCTGTGATTGACCGATTGGCTGTTGTGGAACTGCCTCCCTGCAGAAGCTCTCTGGAGCAGCTACTTTTGAGGCATTCGGTGGGCGACTCTGCTGGTCCGGTCACTCTGGAGGGAGCAGATGTGAGCAGCTCTCTTGGGGAGTTAAACAGAGGCAAGTCTTTAAAGGGAGTGCTGCCGAAGCTGAAGGTGGTGTAGTCGTGTTGTGGAGTATCTGTGGGACCACCTGGTGTATGACTAGGGCTGAAGTCCAGAATATTTTGACTTCCTTTGCCCACCGGGGTCACTTTAAAAGATGCAACATAAGAAGGTGGCTTGCTGGGGGTGGATGAGGTCAAATGGCTTCTACTTTTTATCTGGGTTTTGAATGAGAACTCCCTATCTGGGCTTTCCTGCCCATGCTTGTCTTCATCCAGCTCAATATGTGGATTGTCCTGGAATGTCAAAGCATCGGAGGCTACGCCAGAGTCAAAGAAATTACTTTCGTGGCAGAGGAGAACAGGCTCTTCATTCACAGAGAGAACCAAACGCTGTTTGCGCCGTGAGCTGCTGGCTTGTCTCTTTGGAGGAGCTTTGGGGGTCTCGCATTTAATTGGAACACATACCAGCTCCTCCTTCACTTCTACCTTAAAGTCCGTATTCTTCTGAGGAGATATCATCACAGCTGGGGAATCACTTTGTGTCACCTGTCAGACATGCAACCATTCCCATTAAAATCTTAGTGGTATGGGTGAAGTTCATACTCATCTCTATGCACATAATGTTGTCAATGTAAACTCTAGGGAGTTCCAAGAAATACTTGTTTTGAAAAGCAGTTTGCAACTTGCATAGCTTATGAAGTAAAACAACAACAACAACAACAACACATTTTAAAAAGCTGAAATATATGAGAAATTCATTACCTTCGGTGCTATGCGGACTCTCTTTGTTCCTCGTGAATTGTTCCCCTTCTGCTGGGAGCAGGGCGGAGGAAAAGGGGTAGAAGTGGATGGCAGGTAGACAGAAGGAGTGACGGGGAGCTGTATGGGCACCAAGTATGAATCGGTTCGAGGCAGAAGAGGTTTCATCTTTCTCTCTGAACACAGAAAACACAACAACATTGCACTACACATTTCCAAACTAAACAGCAGTTTGCCAACCTCTGATCTTTCTCAAGTCTCAAATTTATAAAACAACTCATACATTTCTTTTAACTCACCAGAGCTAGTTGGTGTTTTTCTTGCATCTGGAAGTGTCCTCTTTTGGTGCTGTGAAAAGTAAGATGAGACAGAAATTATATCAGTTAGGAGCCTTACTGTGCTGCCACCTAACAACAATAACTTGGCGTTCTGTCCAAAACTTGTCCCTTGATAGCCGACCCTACATCTTTACCCTCAGGAAAGGACTAAAAGGAAGTTTTATGATTGTATGGATACCAGACATTAGGAGAAACAAGTGCTCTTAAAGCACATTAGCCTTTCAGGCTGACTTCAGCCTCTCTGCTTCCCTGCTGCTCTCGTCTCCTCCTGCAACAAAAACAGGTGTAGCTACACTGTGTAGGTCTGAAAGTCTGGTGACAAATAGATTCATGAACGTTCAGATTTTTCTGAGGTTGTGACTTGAAGATGGCTCCTGAAGAACTAAAAGAAAAGAAAAAGAAAGGGGCTAAATCAGTCTTACTTGATTAGCCAGTAAAAGCATTGGCACAGGAACAGTGGCAGTCACTGGATCACAGCCCGGCTACAGAGAGAGATGTGAAGTGAGATTAGGGGGAAAATAAGATGAAAAACAACATGAGGAATCTCAAAACACTCTCAAGGTGTCAGCCATGAAAAAAACAGAACAATTGAAAAACAAGGATCCAAGCAAAATCATTATATAAACACAAGGTAAAACAATAAGCATTTAACAAGCATTCTTGCAACAAAACATTCAGGCCAAGTACCACAAATGTTCCCAGATATCACCGATGTAAAAGCAACGAGTCAGCTGCACTCACCTTGTACACATGATCAAGTGTGAGGCATCGATTGGCTTCAGGTCGGATAGTCCAGAAAGACTTTTTACCATCTGGAGACGTTTCACGAATGAACAGGTCATGCACAGAGAGGTTATGGCGGATGGAATTCTGCAATTATAAATGAAAAAGTATTTGAAAACTGCTGCTTGCTGCAGAGCTGTGAACATATCACACTTTCAGCAGCTCTGAAGTACCTTCCAGCCTGGTTTGGCCACATCTCTATAGTAAGGGAAGTTGTCCTCAATCCACATGCAAATCTCTTTGAGGGTCATCCTCCTGTTCTTTCTGCTATTGATAGCAAACTGGATCATGACCATGTAGGAGTACGGTGGCCTCTCTGAAATGGGTTGCTGAGGAGCTTCTGCACTGGTATGTGTATTGTGTGCCTATATGACAAAAAACAAACAAACAACAGTCAATAAATCTGACAGTGTAACTATTTTCTGTAATCAGACTACTATTGCTGTTATTGCAAATCCCAGCTGTGACCAACTTGTCAAGAAAGGGTGTTTAGGGAACATGTAGCAGTATGTCTGGGGTTAATGTTGCCTTCAGACAAGTTTGTGTCGGCACATAAAGGGCAAGGGAAAAAAAGCAGTTAACAAGAAAAAGCTCTGAACCTCAAAAGTCTGTAAAGAGTTCTGGTTCTCCTTGCTGCTGAGCTGCTTTGTAGAGTTTGGCTCCAAGGCACATGTGCTCATCCTACCCAACCACTTAAGGTCGGTAAGGCTGTCGTCAAAGGGACCGCAGTTTACATCCTTATTCACTAGTAAAGTAAAAGGGGAAAAAACATTGTTGCTTAAACAGAGGAGGAGTTAAATACAGATTATCAAATCAGACAGAGAGAAAAACAAGCACTAAATTCCACACTTATACTTTAAGTATTATCCTAAACATTAATAAAAGAAATTTTTTTCCGTACATGGTTTAATTTCAGTTAGAAGTTTGTCACCTGGGAAACTGCGTGTAGTTTCAGCTTTGACTTTATGTCCTTCTGTACTCCTTGTAGCAGCCGCTTCAGCAGCAGACTGAGGATCAGCTCCATAGTCCCACTTGTTGCCACTCCCACTCAGAAGAATGAACTTGTTTGGGCCCTGGGCACCACACTCATTGCCTTTAGCTGTGAGGTCCCCAATAACGCTTTGAGCTTCTACTTTTTCGGGACTGACAACCACCTGAGTATCAGACTTGGATGGATGGTCCATGATGCGGATACCACCAGGAAAGCTCTGAACAGCAGCTGGTATTGACGGTTCTTTGGAGCCTGATTCTCCAGGCTGTGAATCCGTCGCATTTTGATGAAAAGGCAGTTTTCTTCTTTTGAGAATCCGGGGTCTCGTCGGGCTCCGTCTCATGGTCAGATCATTGAAATGTGCCAAGTTGTTCAGAGGTATTCTGCACAAAAAACACAAACGAGCCTGAACAACGGAGATTAACTGTTACAACAAGAGTTAACAGTAACGGTAACGTTTAGCTGGGAGATGGAAATTATCAAGTCAGTTACTGGCGTTAGCCATCAAGTCCGTTCACAGCAATTCAGTCTAGATCAACTCGGAAAACTCACCGATTTAGCTCAAATACTGATCATAATAAAATACTAAGCATTTAACGCTAAACGGGTTAAATGTTATCTAGATAAAACTAAGGTCCGCACCTTCTTTTTATATCGTCAACTCCTCACTTTAGCGGCTAATTTCCTTCGGTTAGTGACGATTTCCAGCTTGTAGAACAAAAGACGTTAGCCAATGTTTTTAACTGTATGAAACGTTGCCAGGATTATATTTATTAGCAATCAAGATGTTCGTATATAATAGCTACGACACTAGAGAATTTTTGTCTGGATAACCATTTTGACAATTAATGAAACATTACCATATAACTTACATTAAGGTTAAGTATTTTTCCCGATGTAAACAAGTCAAAATATATTCTAGTGAAAACCTCAATAGACTCAAATGACAACTTCAGACATAATTTGCGGTAAAACATACAGCATCGCTGTACATTCACTCCAGACATACTGCGCTATCCTGGGAACCACAGAACCATCCTGTGACTACATTACAAACAAATAAATGTAATTAAAATATATTGATGTCGCGGTAAAATTGACAGTTTTACTACAGATTTAAAGTAACTTTTCCACACATGAAGTCTTGATTAGGTGATGAGATTAGAAATACTTTATGTATTCTATATTTAGGGAAATATTTTTGTTACACCTGTGAAAAGACTGATGATATAATAATCATAAGAAGAAGAATATTTGGCAGATGACTCTGCCAGACAGATGTATTCTATTATAGAGAGTGAAAGCATACGATATGAAAGATTTCCTGCATGTGTGTTTATGGCAGTGGAGTGAATCAGATATCCAGTTTCTAACTAATTCCAAAGCCAGCCTTCCTAATATGTTTCTTGACGCTTTCTTGATGTCACCAGGTCTCATGCTGGCCCCCCAGCAGACCACAGCAATGCTGACAGATTGAAAATCTCCAAGTTTTTGCTGCACACATTGAAGGATCTCAGCTTTCTGCGCTTCCCCATTTTATATACACTCTCTGTGCTGGTTTTCCAGTTCAGCCAGTTGTCGATGTGGGTGCTCAGGTACCTTTTACTCCCCTACCACATCACCATACTGAAGAGACAGGCCTCCCAGACGACGCCACGAAATCATCCAGGAGTGTTTTGGACATTATTTCATACATCATAGTTATTTCAGGAGTACTTTGTTCTGTTATCTCCCATTTATATTTTGTATAATAATAAAAGTGGGACCAAATGGGACCCAGTAAAATATAGCAGTGAGTGTTTTTGGTCTATGTGCTTTCCAGGAAGTTTAATGTTCTGAGGAGGACAGCGTCTGTCTAAACAACAAAAAGCAGAAGAAGAAGAAGCACCATTTAGCTGCCAGTTAAAAAGGAAGGACCAGGACACGGTGTCAGAAAAGAAAATACAGTACTGTTCGTTTCTTCAGACGATAAGTGATAAGCTGTACCCAGTTCATAAAGCATGCAGATTGTTCATGTTGAGTCTAAGCAAGTCTCCTGATTATCTAGTAAACAACAGCACCCTCTGCTGTTCCTAAAGAAAATTGACAGAGTTTCAAGTGTAACGTCATTGCTGGTTCAGCTGGGGGCAAGGTTGCATCATTAACCACAAGCTGAAATCAGTGCAGAGCACTAAAGCATGACAGGTTACATCCAAAAACTGAAGCTTGGTGCCGCTCCTGCTTCGCTAAAACTCATTTTAAGCCTCTGATGAGTCGAACCACTGAGATCACGTGATCCAGCTTTGCTCGGGGTCGAGGAGCTGATGGGTCAGGGTATGGGAAAAAGGAAGTGGGGATCTTTTTGGACACCAAATATCCAACTGTAGTCCTTACACTAGAGACGGCTTTTGATCTGACCACAGGCTTGGACAGTGTTGACACAACCAAACTAGACCCCGCAGTTGGGGGCAGGAAACTGCGTCCCCTCTCCACTTTCTCATGATTGAACACTGATGTTGCAAAAGCACATGAAGTCTTCAATCAGGGTAAATAACTGCACTCGGATGCCTTCTCTTGAAGCCACGACAAAGAGAGAAACTTGTCAAGACACTCAAGTACACACACGCACACATCCTTTGGGGATGAAAGAAAAGTGTCAGCATCACGGCACAGTCTTACCCTTAAAGGAGGGAAGCAGTCGGGCCATTCCTGGGCCAGAGTAGGAGAGAAGACAGATAGCATCTTGGGAATCTGTATACAGTGATGTGAGTCATGTGTGCAGTGTGTAGTACCTACGTATGCCTAACATTTATCGCAGGGAGAGTGGTGTTTATAGTGTCGGACACAGGCGAGCAGGCACCTGGCTTCTTTTATTGTCAAAATGCGTACTCCCTTTGGGTCTGCTTGCTGATGAGCTGTTCAGGGGTGTCAAACATAAAGCGCAGGGGCCAGAATCGGTTCGGGAAAGACTCTAATCCAGCCCACTGGACAAAATAGTTTCAGTTTTTCTGCTATTTACTACAGAAAGTATCTATACCAAATAGAAAAAAGTGCGAAAAAAGCACTTTTTCTGTAATTTTACACATTTATCAAGTTTCACTGGTTCGGTCCACTTCAGACCAAAGTGGGCTGTATGCAGCCCGTGGTGTAAAATGACTTTGATGTGTCAGTTCTAGATGGATAATGAATTTGACTACTTTTAGTCTCTACTTCAGCGCTGCTGGCAGCATTCACAAATTCAGTCTACTGTGCTGTGTAGGAAGCTTCTTTATTCATGCATATTTCTACCTAATTTCACCTGCTTTGTTTGACAGCAGGGTTGTCACTATAGCCAGGTTTTTACTATGCTTGTGAGTTTTTTTTAAATGAGATATAAATACCCACTCATTCTTATATATGATAATATTGCAAATAATTGTGTAATTGCTATTTTTGTAATCTTTTGTATAGTTTTAGTAAACACTTCCACAAACTTATATTTTCTCCTTTTTCTAAAACAGACACCATCAAAATTGCGACGACATTATGCTGTTGTTGCTCAAGCTTCAAAAATGACGTGATTCACAAACCAGTGGGTGGAGGGGCAGTGGCTAAATCATCAGCTTAAAACAAGCTTTAAAAATGACCCAAAAGGCACAGAAAACAAAGTTACAGTCCAGTGACAAATTAGGTGTGGCGAAGCCTTGCAGGCAGCTACTGGTTGTAAGTGTTAGAGTGGGTACCGTCTGTCAGCTTAAACTATCTATCTCATTATAATGGATAAAGACTTAAGAATATTCTCAGTTTTTGTGGCCAAATGTAAACATGCTCTTTTTCTGCGGTAAATCTGTGCATTTTAATGTAAAAGTCTGTGGAGTGTGGGACCAGCCGCAGCACTTTTCTCTCCCTCTTAGACAACTAAACGCAGTAACCCTTCTTTCATTTTTTCTCAACCAAGATGTTTCTGCCATGTTTCAGTCCTGCTTCTCTAACAAAACGCATGAGAAATTAATGAGATTGTTCTCACAGCTACGAGGGCTAAAGATGGAAAAACCTATTTTAATTTAATGGTCATCAAACCACATTTTTATTTCTATATCTACCAAAGGGTCAAAACTCATCACTATGGGTGAAGATGTCTGTATGTGGCAAAGATGACAGTCATGGTACTGCTGGGGATTGAACCCAGGACCTTCTGCGTGTAAAGCAGATGTGATAACCACTACACTACAGAACCAGATGGACTGCCAGCCATTGTTTTTACCTGATGAGTTGAATCCCATGCTGCTGATTCCTTATAAATATGTGGAAATATGTACATTCTGTGCTGCAGCTTGAAGGGGATGTTAAATGATCAAAAAAATAAAAATACTGTAAAATGCAACTTTAAATCCACCAGAAGTCATTTCAGAGCAGAATATTAAGAACAAAGTTATATGAAATGAATAAAGGCACACAGCAGGCGTTTGACACTTTCCCCCTAATGCTCTTGTGTTGACAAATTGAGCCTGCTTCTCTGAGGAGTCGTTATATGACAGACCTAGTCCAGAACCCAGTCTACCTTTCTATTTACCTTTCATTTTATGCGTGACAAGTCTGAAGACTTTATTAGCCAACAGATAAATCAAAGGGATGTAGCTATCGACTAGCAGTGCCAATATCTACAAAAGAGACAAACAGAGGAAACACTGAGTGGGAACCCGGAGCTGAATGACAAGCTTTCCGATATCCCTGTGTTTGTGTTATTGGTCTCAACAGCAACCCCCCATTACTGTCTGCATGCATGCTGAGACTCTTGAATTGTCCCTGATTTCCTGCTGTGTTCAGCAGTTCACGAAGGCAGACAGTCCTTCTGTGTTACTGTCAAATTCATTTTACAGTATCCAGACCACTCAACCATTTACATCCTGAGATTACTGCTTCGGGTAGAGATATTTTCAGCTTCGGCCAGAAAACTGAAAAACGTACACAATCACATCATAAGTTATTCTGTAAATACACAATAGATAAAAAAAAATCACATCATAGATCTGAAGAGATCCAATCTCTTAAATCCCTCATGCACTCAGGGGTTGATTGCTTTAGAAGAGGTGCAGAGCTTGCAGAAGGAGGAGATTCTGCAGTCATCCAGTTAAAAGAGCCAGTAATAAATAAAGACCACACCATATATGTGCATTTCCTCTCCGTGGACTTATGGAAACACATCACCTGGAGGAGCAACCCCTGACCTTGTCTTGTCACAGCACTCTGAGCATGAGACAACGTTCTCAGATTTACAGGGGAGGAGATGCTGCTCCTGGCTGGCCATAGTGTTTCATTTGACCATAATAGGCCTTGTAGTGGTTGAAAAAGTGTGTGCTGGTAATCAAAGTTTCCCTGAGCAGAAAGACAAGATTGACTAAAACCAAGTAGACGGAGAGAGGACTGGAGGGGCGCACAAAGGTTTTGTAAGGTATACAGAAGTACGGTTGTCATGGTGATGACGGGAAACTCTTTTGTGCTTACGAGGCAGAAAAGTGTCTCCCCCTGGGAAACAGATGTGAGGCCAATGAATCTGCTAGTCAAAAGAAATACAGCTAACCTTTTATATCCATAAATTGTAATTTCCCTCAGTGTTACGCTTACTCCCATATCTTCAGCTTATGTTCTGTTCCTTTCTCGCATTTCTAGGTTTACACAGAAGTTTTAATGTTATCTTGTTGCCCTGTTGCCTCATTTCGTGTCAGCACTTTCATCTGCTTTTAAATTAACCCCTAATGACTAACAAAGAGATTCTGAAATTCAAAAAATATAAAAATAAAACTGGACAAATCAAGCTTTTTTGAGCTTGTGTTTCACATGAAATTTAGCATTTCAGAGCAACATGCTGTATGCAAGAATTCTAAGAGCTGGAAAACAAGACCCTCGTTTAGTTTGGTCTGCTATTTTTAACCTTTTGCATTTTTACAGTAGGCTTGCACACGCGTCAGACTTTCCAATACACAACTAACGAATGGGCAACAGCACTTGCAGTATTTCTGTCACATTCAGACCTCTACTAAGAAACAACAATCCCAAGGTGGTGCACCAACGCACCACAAAGGGGGGATTTCCTGACAGTGGCACAAAGTCGCCCCTGTACCAAAATGGCTGCCTCCTCCTCCTTTCTGCCTCTCGTCGTGCCATGGCAGCAGTAAATATTGATGTCTGGCTGACTGGATAACAGCTCACAGCACTAAAATGTAGCCTGATATTGAACCCTGGTTTGGACTTGAGCCCCTTCTATTAATTTGGCTATTTCAGCATGCATTTACCACATAGCAGTGGGTCTCGCAGCTGTCCCATGCTCTGTCAACTTCCATCTGGCTTTGGAGTTGGAGCTGCAGTATAAGTCAGAATGCAGCCCAGCACTGTAATTTCTCCTCTCAGAATGCAATTTGTCGCCCAGCAGTAATAAGACTAGACCCAACCCAGCAACTCATTCACTTATATACATAAACGTGGCCAAGATGACCTGCTAAATTTCAAACCAACCATCAGAATCGAAATCCAATAGAACACCTTTTAGATGTTGTGGAAGAAAAGATCCATTTGTTCAAACTGTGAGCTGTTATGTTGGGGATGTGTATTTAACCACAGTTTGTGAAATATCAGCTAAATACTACCTTCTTTTTGACATGCAGAAATTCCTCTGTATTACGCAAGACCTTTGAAATTTAGCAATTAAACGTGACTACAGACGAGGCCTGAATTTTGTGCTCTTATTCTGAAAGGGTGGAAAGTAATTGGTGATATAAATCATTTAAATCAAATAGATTTGTAGTGCTCATTTGATTATTTGTTCGGTGTTAA